TAGGGGTGATCAGGCAGGCAGGCGAACAGTTAGGGGCGATCAGGCAGGCAGGCAGAGTGGTTAGGGGCAATGAGGCAGGCAAGCAGAATGGTTAGGGGTGATCAGGTAGGCAGGCAGAGGTGGTTAGGGGTGATCAGGCAGGCAGGCAGAGGTGGTTAGAGGTGATCAGATAGGCATGCAGAGTGGTTAGGGTTGATCAGGCAGGCAGGCAAGTGGTTAGGGGAGATCAGGCAGGCAGGCAAGCGGTTAGGAGCAATCAGGCAGGCAGGCAAGCGGTTAGGAGCAATCAGGCAGGCAGGCAGGCAGAGGTGGTTAAGGGCAATCAGGCAGGCAGGCAGAGGCGGTTAGGGGTGATCAGGCAGGCAGGCAGAGGCAGTTAGAGGTGATCAGACAGGCAGGCAGAGTGGTTAGGGCTGATCAGGCAGGCAGGTGAGTGGTTAGGGGTGATCAAGCAGGCAGGCGAGTGGTTAGGGGCGATGAGACAGGAAGGAGAGTGGTTAGGGGCGATCAGGTAGGCAGGCAGAGGCAGTTAGAGGCGATCAGGCAGGCAGGCAGAATGGTTAGGGTGATGGGGCAGTCAGGCAGAGTGGTTAGGGGCAATCAGACAGGCAGACAGGTGAGCGGTTAAGAGCCAGTGGTCCTGGATTGCGAGAGGGATGTCTAATTGCCAGTTTTGGCCTGATCCCTCAGGGATCCTTGTGGGATTGGACCTAAACCGGCAGTTGGACATCCTCTGAGGGGTCCCGAATTGCGAGATGGTGCAGGCTGGGCTGAGGGATCTCCGCCCCCCCGCCCCCGCACGATTTTCATGCACTGGGCCTCTAGTTAAGAATAACAGTGTTGTCCTGGCTGGGTGGCTCAGTGGTTGGAGTATCATTCCATACACTAAAATGTAGCAGGTTCAATTCCAAGAAAGGGCACATAGCTAGGTTGCCAGTTTAATCCCTGGTTGGGATGTGTGTAGGAGGCAAGCTCTCAATGTTTCTTTCTCACATTGCTAGTTCTCTCTCTCTCTCTCTCTCTCTCCCTCTCCCTCTCTCTCTCATTAATGAAAGCACATCATCCTCAGGTGAGGATAAAAAGAAAAAGAATCCCAGTGTCCTTCCATCTCTTCTTGCTGTCATCCCTTAGTTCCTCAGCCTTAGTTTTCTGTATGTGGCAGACTGATGTATAAACAACAGAAAGGAACTATAAATCACTGAAGTTTTAAGGGTCAGGCTTAGATTGGGCAACCATTGCTTCTGTCTACACTCCACTGGCCAGAATGTAGAAGGGAGCTAGGAACTGTAGGTTTCCTGGGTATACAAGTAAAAATAGGATGGTAAATATTTATCACTGTTTATACCATAGTTCCTTTCAGTTACAGGAACAGAAAACCCAACTCAAATAGGCTTTGCCAATGAGGAGGAAACTGGTCTTGCAAGGGGTGTCAGGCCATAAAAACTGTGAACAATGCACTGCGGGGGTGGGGTGGGGGGTGTGTGTGTGTGTTATCGCTCGCCCCAGGACAGATCATCGGATATGGCCTCAGGACCCCCAACACCGGAGGTCTTCCTGTAAGCCCAGGAAAGGGGGTGGAACCATATCTGCAAGACAAAGACCCCAGAAGGTTATAAAAAGTGAAGCCCTCTGCGTGTTTCTTCACTCTGATTTGGAAATTATTCCCGGAGTCCACTAATGTTAATAAACAAGGTCCCTCCCTTTCTCTAGGAAGTGTGCTTGGTATTTCTTTGGTTTTCTGAAACACCAGAAAGGAAAATCTTTTCCTCTACCTTCTTAGATTTAGTTTGGGGAGGCTTGTGAATTAAACTGAAAAAAGACAGGCTAGCAAGAGAAAAAAATATTTTAATCACATACTATGTAGGGGAGTTCACAAAGAAATGTGATTCACAGGGGTGATTAGAATTGGGGGCTTATATATCCTTTCAATAGGTGAAGGGGGAGGGATAAAAGGACACATGAAAACAAAACACTTTTTAGAACAGCGGTTCTCAACCTGTGGGTTGCAACCCCTTTGGGGGTCAAATGGCCCTTTTACAGGGGTTGCTTAAGACCATTGGAAAACACATATATAATTACACATTGTTTTTGTGATTAATCACTATGCTTTAATTATGTTTAATTTGTAACAATGAAATTGGGGGTCACCACAACATGAGGAACTGTATTAAAGGGTCGCAGCATTAGGAAGGTTGAGAACCACTGTTTTAGAAGGTGGAAGAAGGAAAACAAGAAACTTTTAGGAAAGATAAATGGGCCCTTAGGGGAATAGATTATAGACATGTTGTTTTGTGACAATGTTGTGGTTTAGGTGTGGTGACAATTCTCATGGTTTCTAAAGATATGAATCAACCTTTCCTAGTTGCTCCCTGGGAGGAGATTTAAGACAATTGAGTTTGTTTGTTTTTTTTGTGGGAAGGCTCTGCCTTTAAGGCAGATAAGGGATTTCAGGAATTCAAATGCCTTTAGCTAAAAATAATTTTTATGCTACAGTGTCTTATTCTGGACTCCTTCAGCTTAAACAGAAAGGGAATTTATTGGCTCATATAACAGAGAAGTCTAGAGGTAGGATGGGTTCATGTTGGGTTTGATTTGAGTTTATGATGATCTCAGGGATTGACTTCCGTTCCCAATGATTGATTTGCCCAGCTCTCCCTCCCTCACATGTTAGTCTTATTCTCAGTTGGCTCTCCCAAGTAGCAAAAAAAAGAAAAAAGTTTGTAACTCTTCCAATATTCACATTTGAACAGCTTATCATCCAGAGAAAGAAAAAAACTCTTTTGTTTTTTATCCCAAATGATGGGAAGGTTGTAGACAGTAAGTCAAGAGAACCAAGAGATGAATGTTCTGGAAGCCAAGGGAGGAACTTTAAGGATAGAGAAGTCAAATCATCCAAATTACTTCCTGTGTGTTGATTTCATAGTCATCAGACATCCTTTGTATTTTGGATTCTCATGTAAATGTTCCTTTTGAGTGACAATGTGTTGATCAGAGTTTTCTGGTCTTCATGGCAGTTATGTTTTTCATGAAAGAAAAAGGAATAAATTGGGGTTTTGTTTTATTTATCAGTCTCTAGTAAGTTTGGTGGGCATGAATCATCCTTCTGGATTTAAATTAGCTCTGAGGGGCCACATGCTAACCTGAAAGTGCATGGAAGGCCTGCATGGCAGCCCTAAAGTAACCACAAAGATGGTCGGAAATTAAACTTTAACTAAAAGCAGTTATGGTGGGTAGTTACTTCCTAGGCTGGTATCTTCCCTGACAAGGTCAATCTTTACTTTAACGGAGTCTGTCTTTTTGCATCTACAGTAACATATCCTTGAAATGTCAGGGTAACTTGTAACTTCCCTTTTTCCGGATCCCTCAGGCCATAACCAAATGCCTTGGGTGTCATGACAGACCATAAATTCCTTGTTATTGCTATCATGTTAATTATTGCCTGTTAACTATCCTGTACCCACCTAAGTAAAAGAAGTATGTGTCTATCATTTTACTCTTTATCCAATCCCAGAGGGTTCCCCACTTTGCTTTCTCCCGACTCTCTATCACCAATGGATTTCATGTAACCCACCTACATCTCCTCCTTTGATTGCAATGTATAAAAATAGAAGATAAACCACCATTCTCTGGAGCACTATCCCAACCCGTTGAGATTCTGCTTCCCGGCAATTGTTGACAGTTGGCTCAAATAAACTCACAAAAATTCTGTACAGGTTTGTATATTTTTACGTTAACAGGGCTAACAACCTGAAGTTTCTGTCTCTTCAAATTGAGGACCAGGCTCTAGAATACAGAGTGAAATCTTAAGTTCACTTTCATACTTTAACATGCTTTGCTAAGTCACTATATTTCAAATATTAGGAATATTTGAAATATAATGACTTAAAATTTGAAATATATATTTCAAATATTTGAAATATAATGACTTAAAATTGTGCCAAGGTTTTTGACCATTTAGCTTTCCATGTTTGTTATTTTTCATTATTTTGTGTCTTTTCCTATAAAGCTTATTTTCAAGGTGAGCCAGAAAGGGGCAGCTGGGCAGAATATCCTTAGCCCAGTTGGCGAAAGAGGTCCTGGTTATTTGTGGCCATACCAGGCCTCCAGGGGTGATGCGAGTCACCTTTTGGGAAGATGGATCTGGGAATGGTAATCAGTAAGGAAGCAACTATCACCATAAACAGCAGAGAAGAGCCTGGAGCAGCCATAATGAGGAAGAAGAAACCAATTCAAATAGGGAGCAAGAATAGTAGTATTCAGTTGATCGAATATTGTGTGCAGCGATCGTGTGTATGTGTTCGGGATCTAACAAGAGGCCAGATTTCAAATCCAGGTCACTCCCGAGAGCTGGCCCATCACTGCCATTGATACTGTGAAGACAACCGGGAGAGGAAACGTTCCTTACAGGTCAGACTGCAACGTCTATCAAGTATGTGTGCGAGCCGTTTCTTGGCAAGTGTTCTTGCAAAAATGCACGTATCTTAACTTTTTTTCCTCTCGTTATGACGGGCATCCATTCGGCAGAGTTAGCAATTTAAAGGAGACACCAGCAAAACTGCGTGTCTGAAACAAATTTAGTAACACTGGCCAGTTATGAAACGAACCTGACTTCACTTCTTTTTCTCCTCTGGTGATGTCTTCGCGCCTTAGCTCGGTGCTGCTCTGCAGCGGTGCCCCTCTCCCTCCACCTCCTTCCAAGCCTGCGGGGAACTAGCTGGTCCACGGAGGGGGCCCCGCCACGCTCGTCTCCACGCCTTCGGATTCCTCGCAGCCCCGACCGCGGGATGGCTGCCCCGGCGGGTGGGGGAGCAGACCGGCGGGCAGGGCCTCGCCCCCCGCGGGCGCGTGGCTGGGCGGCCGGCCTTCGAGGGCCTGCGAGGCGGCACACATGCCAGCCCGCCTCCCGGTCGCGGGGAAGACAAGGAGCCCGGACTCGCCCAGGCCGACCCGGAGCCTACCCATGAGGCAGCGCGCGGGCTCCTCGCGAACCCCTCGGCCCTCTCCCCGCGGCTCGGCTGCCTGCTCCGCAATGGGCGCCGCCGCGGTCGCGGCGGGGTAGTTGTTCGAGCTCCTCCTTTTCCTCCTCCTCTATCTCCTCCTCCTCAGGGCCCCAGTCAGGCCGATCCGCTCCGCTCACGGTAAGCGCCCCCCGCCCCCGCCCGCCCCGCGCTGCGGCAGGCAGAGGCCCTCCCGCGCGGCCGGCGCCGCCTCATTCCGGGGGCGCCGGGCTGGGGGTGTCGAGGCCGGCGCGGGTCGCCCAGAGCACCCAGGGAGCGGGGACGGGGACTGGCTGCGCGGCGGCCGGCGGCCCGCCATCTTGCGCCGGCCCTGGCGTGGGAGGCATCCCGGCGCGGCGCGGCGGCCGCTCGGGGCGCAGGCCGGGGCCGCGCAGGCCGCCGCCGCCGCCGCCTCCCTTCCTCCCTTCCCGAGGCCGGGCGCCCCCAGCCTGGTGGTGGCTTTTCTCTCTCGAGCCAACTCCCATCGTCTCCGCGCACTTTGTGCCGATGTGTGGCGGAGACCCCGCTCCTCTCACAGCAGCCTTCCCCCGAGTCTCCCCGGAGCCTCCCCGTCGTCGGCAGGGACGACGGGCGGTTCCGAACTCGCGGGCGTCGGAGAGCCGGGCCCAGGGTCCCGCCCAGGTGGCCGGCTCGGCCCGCGCACGCCCTGCCCTGGCCCCGGGGACTTCCCTGCCCCGCCGCGGCCGCCCCGTCTCATTGTCTCCAGGAAAGGCCCAGAGGGACAGCGCGGACTTGGAGACACAATTTCCGACATAGCTTCAGGCTTCACCTCGTGAGGCGGAGCGGAGGATCCCACTCGGAGGGTTCCTCCGGCTCTGGCGACGCGAGGGGCGCCTCCCGCGTGGTCCCGCGTTAAAACGCATTTAAGCGGAATCTGCTAGAGAGGAGACGCGTCCGAGGGAACCCGCGTCTGCAGGCACCTTCCTTCGCGGGTTCTCATTGTGTTGCGAAGATTTAGGTGTTTTTTTTAAAAATTCTAATTTATAATCTATTTGTTTTTAATTTATGTATAGCTTTCAGGTTTGGCTTGTGTCTTAAGAATTTGACGTCTTTTAGTGCCACGACACAGAAAACTGAAAGGAGAGTTTTAAAGTACAAAAGCCGCCCCTGGGCAGTGGTCAGGCGTCCTGCATCGGGGGTTCCGGTGCCAACTCGGGCCGTCTTTCAGTAGACACTTGCTGCGCCTGCGAAGGCCCAGGTTCGCTTAGGAAATTAAGTGCTTTGGATGTTTTAAAACATCGGTGCAAATACCCATACAAAGTATCTATCATTTGTATCTGTCATTGAGACCTACCCCGAAACCAAGGTGAGGAAAGAGCCTCCTGGAGAGGTGTTTTGTTTTTTTTAAAATTTAATATATTTTTATTGATTTCAGAGAGGAAGGAAGAGGTAGAGAGAGAGAGATAGAAACATCAATGATGAGAGAGAATCATTGATTGGCTGTCTCCTGCATGTGCCCTTGACGGGAATCAAACCCGGGTTCAGTCCGCAGGCGGATGCTCTATACACTGAGCCACACCGGCCAGGCGGGAGAGTTCTTTAATGAGCTCATGGCTGGGAAGTGGTAGAGCCAATTCCAGACCCTTAGGTCTTCTGATTCCAGTGTTCAATTCAGTATATTATGTTTCATTTTTTAAGAGAGTGTGAGTAGTGAGGAGAAGAGGCAAGGAGGCTCACCTACAAAATTTAGATACTACTCACTTGCCTCTTGTTTTACAGTTTAAGAATTCATTTCTGAACCTCGCAACCATTTTTTTTTTTATTTTTTGTGTTACCGTATTTTTCCCCAAACTTTGAAAAGTTGAAGATAGCACGTTTGAACACATACCTACCCCAAAGTTTTAATAGTTATTACCATGTTGCCACATTTGCTTTATCTACCCATTTCAGTCTTTTTAAAAAATGAACATATATTTAGAGATTCTTAGAGAAAGAGAGAGAGAGAGAGAGGAAGGGAGAGGGATAGATAGAAACATGGATAAGAGAGGAACATCACTGATCAGCTGTCTCCTGCACGCCCCCTACTGGGGATCGAGCCCACAACCTGGGCATGTGCTCTGACCAGGAATCTAATGGGCTCCTTGGTGGATGCTCAACCACCACTGCGCCCACTGGGCCCATTTCACATTCTCTTTGGTGAACATTCTCAAGTCCATTGCAGATATGACAATTCACACTGAAGTGTACGGTATGTGTGTCCGTATGTATATCATAAGGTTAGGACAATTTCTATATAACCACAATACCACAATCACTTAAAGTTAATTCCTATAATCTACAATATGTTTGTAGTATTCACATCTTCCCTGTAGTTCCCCAAATAGCCTTTTTAGTCGTTTATCAATATCCAATCATGCATTACATTTATTTGTTAATTTCATTTAATTTAGCGTTGTTGCGTCTTTGTGTGTGTGTGTGTGTGTGTGTGTGTGTGTGTGTGTATGATGGCATTGACCTTTTGAAGAGACTAGGCCAGTGATCTAGTCGCATAACCCACATTCTGTATTTTATTGACAGTTTCCTTCTTTTTGGGTTTACATTGTACCCTCAATTGCCTGTATTTTTTGAATAGATCAGGCTTAATATTTTGGCGGGATTACTTAAGTCATCCAGTGTATTTCACATTATACATTATGCAATATTTTTATAAGAATGCAGACCGTGCTCTTTTGCTAAAAGGGCATATGACTATTCATCCTTTGTGTGTGTTCTAAAATTCAACTTGATACAGTTCAGAAGTGAACAAGTGTTGAACACAGATGTATACAATGGTGACTAGAAGGAAACATGACATGGATTTTTTAAAAAATATATTTTATTGATTTTTTTACAGAGAGGAAGGGAGAGGGATAGAGAGTTAGAAATATCGATGAGAAAGAAACACCGATCAGCTGCCTCCTGCACACTCCTCGCTGGGCATGTGCCCACAACCAAGGTATATGCCCTTGAACGGAATCGAACCTGGGACCCTTCAGTCCGCAGGCCCATGCTCTATCCACTGAGCCAAACAGGTTAGGGCAACACAAATTTTTTTATTCATTGGATTGATTATTCAAATGAGTGTCTACAAATCTAAAACTGAAAATATCTTGCAGTTATGAAGCAAAGAAGATGCCTACACTTCAATAAAATTATGAACCATCAAAGGTTTCAAAACATTCAAATATTGCATTGATGATGTACATGCAAAATGAAGACCCAAAAGAAATGATAAGCTAGAACTTATTAGGGAAGTATTTGATATCTCAGATCAGTATTTACAAGATAAATATGTTCCAGGTTCACATGTGACAGTTGAGAAGTTACTTTTAGTTTTTAGAAGCATATTGTTCACTCATTGATTGTTGAGTTGGAGAAAATTTGTTTTGGATATCTTATCTGAAGACAGCGACATTTCCCAAATTTCTCTTGTCATTAGAGTCTGAAGTGCTTGCCATCCATCTTTGCCTTGGTCTTCAGGTTCATCTGATAATTGTGAAATGTCTCCTTTGTCAGTTTTCTTTTGTCCTATTATGGGTAGGAAATAAAAAGTTCTGAGCTTTTAACTGTATTCATTGAAAACTAAAAGCATATGAAGAGGATCAGGATATGCCATCCAATTATGTGCCACTTTGACATAAAGATTAGTTTGAACAGAAGGCAGTTGAGAATCAACAGATAAAGAGTTTTTTTTGCCCTCCCATTGTCTGCCTAAAGTAGAGCATAAATTTCCTTTTATGTCATACCCTTTTCCCCATACCAGGAAGGAAAGAGAAACTCTTACCTTCTGAGATTCAGAGTTGATACTGAGATGAGTTTGCATATATTTCCTAGTTAGAACTTCCCTATGATTTGTCTCTCAAAGCTCAAATCCTCTTTCCTTTAAAATGGTATATAAGCCCCTGAGCCTAACTGCTTCTTTGAGTTTTACCCCTCTTGAGTGAACTCTGAGGTATGTAAACATTAATAAAAATTGTGTGCTTTTTCTGTCTTTTGTTAGTTCAAGTTGAAGATCCCCAGCTACTGCAACCTGAAAGGGTAGAAGTAAAGTTTTTCCTCCCAACACAGACCACAAAGATGATGTCTTCAGTCTTCTATGCCTTTCATTTTTTTGAAAGGTGATAAAATAAGCAAAAGAATTAGCTGAAAAAAAGATAATAAAATGAAGTATAATGTATTAATGATGATTTATTTCATCCTTGGATTATCCTATTATTACTTTAGTTTTATTTTTTAAAAGCATAGTTGTTAATAATTGATGTGCAATGGTGAAATCTAAGATGATGGAATTAACGAAATATTTCAGGATGTAGGAAAACTGAAATCACTAAGATCCCATAATGTAGCTTAGATTTATAACAGGATTCTGTAGACTCATAGTAATCATAAGATAAAATGAGTTTTATTCTATTTAAAAGTAATAAATTTCCCTTTGCTCTTTGAAGATCTCAGGGTAACATTAAAGGTAAAAAAATGTCAATCTTTACAACTATAACTGCTCAAGAAAGAAAATCAAAAACTAAAAGAAAAGAGAAAAATACCCTAAAGTTGTTCCTATGGACTCTGATAGTATACTGAAGGTGAATGATTAATTTGGACAATGAGATCTAGAGGTCCACCCTTTCCAACACACACATTAAACCTGTCTGCCTCTCCTCCTACTATCACGATAGGTTTGTCAGCCTTTTGTACTACATCTTGAATGAATGCAGGGTAGTACTTAGAAAGTTATTTTTTGAAGTTCCAAATTTTTTCTTTAATATTTTTTTTCCCTTCTTTCCAAACTTTACCTTTAGAGATTTTCCATAGTAAAGAATGATTGAATGGAACACTGTAGGATCAAAATATAATATTTAGGCCTTTTGGTGAACTGGATTAAACCCAAAATGTTTTTTATTTCAATTATTTTTATTGTGAACATTCTGTTTTTCTGGTTTAGTACACCATGATAAACAATGTGTGATTTTTGGAATGATGTTGATTTTGCTTCTTTGTGTTTTTATTTTTTTATTTTATTTTTATTTTTCCTTTCTCTGATACTTCGAGGTAAAGTCTTTTTTTTTCCTTTTTTTAAAATTAAATCTTTATTGTTCAGATTATTACATTTGTTCCTCTTTCCCCCCACCCCCATAACTCTCCTCTTTCCAGTTCCCACCCCACCCTCCGCCCTCACTCCCCACCCACTGTCCTCATCCATAGGTGCACGATTTTTGTCCAGTCTCTTCCTGCATCCCCCACACCCCTTTCCACCCCCAAGAACAGTCAGTCCATTCCCTTTCTATGTCCCTGATTCTATTATAATCGACAGTTCATTCTGTTCATCAGATTATTTATTCACTTGATTCTTAGATTCACTTGTTGATAGATGCGTATTTGTTGTTCATAATTTGTATCTTTACCTTTTTCTTCCTCTTCCTCTTCTTAAAGGATACCTTTCAGCATTTCATATAATCCTGGTTTGGTGGTGATGAACTCCTTTAGCTTTTCCTTATCTGTGAAGCTCTTTATCTGACCTTCAATTCTGAATGATAGCTTTGCTGGATAAAGTAATCTTGGTTGTAGGTTCTTGGTATTCATCACTTTGAATATTTCTTGCCACTCCCTTCTGGCCTGCAAAGTTTCTGTTGAGAAATCAGCTGACAGTCATATGGGTATTCCCTTGTAGGTAACTGAGTTTCTTTCTCTTGCTGCTTTTAAGATTCTCTTTGTCTTTTGCTCTTGGCATTTTAATGATGATGTGTCTTGGTGTGGTCCTCTTTGGATTCCTTTTGTTTGGGGTTCTCTGCGCTTCCTGGACTTGTAAGTCTATTTCTTTCAGCAGGTAGGGGAAGTTTTCTGTCATTATTTCTTCAAATAGGTTTTCAATATCTTGCTCTCTCTCATCTTCTGGCACCCCTATAATTCTGATGTTGGTACGCTTGAAGCTGTCCCATAGACTCCTTACACTATCTTCATATTTTCGGATTCTTTTTTCATTTTGCTTTTCCGGTTGGGTGTTTTTTGCTTCTTCGCATTTCAGATCTTTAACTTGATGCTTGCGCTCCTCTGGTCTGCTATTGGGAGTCTGTATAATATTCTTTATTTCAGTCAATGTATGCTTAATTTCTAGTTGGTCCTTTATCACAACATCGAGGGTCTCATTAGATTTCTTGAGGATCTCACTATATTTATCGGCGGTCTCACCAGTCTTTTCGAGGGTCTTACTAAATTTATCGGCGGCTTCTAGACAGTTCTTGAGAGACCTTAAAAGTGTGGTTTTGAGCTCTATATCCAGCATTTTGCCTTCCTCCATTTCTGTCCTGTTTCTTTGTCTCCGCATTTTTTATGCTTTCTTGGTGCACCCCCTAGTGGTCTTTGTGTGCAGTCTTGTTGTAGTTACGCCTTGATTGTTGTAGGTAACCTGGGGGGGATTTGACCTCTAGGCCAACTGGCTGTGAGAATCAGCTATGTCTGCAGTGGGAGAACTTCTGTCCTCTGGGGAGGTGCTAATCTAGCCTTTGCCTGAGGCTCTCCAGCAAATGGCTCTCTGCAGGGCTTGGGCGGGGCGAGTCACATGGGATCAACAGGGCGGGTGGAGGGAGCACTTATGGCTGCTCTCAGTCCCGTCCCCAGAGGCTCTGCCTCTCAGAGTCCCAGCAATCGCTGCAAGTACCTCGGAGAGAAAGCTGCCCTCGCGTTCTGGCCGATGCCAGACAGTCCCGCTTCTCCCGTTTGAGTCTGGGTTCCCAGAGACTCGCCTGGAACTGGAGCCCAGAGCCTGAGACTCCCTCCCAATTGAAAATGACAACCGCGCCCTCAGCCGCCAGCCCGCTCCGCACCTTTGTATTTTACTGCCGCACTGCGCCTCCTCTGAGTCTCGGTGTGCTTTTCTCTTTTCTTCTAGTTGTAGAATTTCCCCTCAGCCAGCTTTCCTGTGGTTCTGGGTGATGTCCGTTCTGTCTTTTAGTTGTATTTTTGAAGTGGTTGTGCAAGGCAGCCGGTGTTTACCTATGCCGCCATCTTGGTTTTTCTCCAAATCCTTCTTTGTGTTTTTAAACACAATGCCTTATACATAATTAATGCTTGCTTAATAAGTGCTTTTTCTTAGTGTTGTGCACATCACTGAATATAACAGTTTAAAATTATTACTTTATTCTTTGGATTGGTATATTCAAAATTTTGACTAGCCAATATAGTAATTTAGCCTGCCTTTTTTTTTTTTTTTTTTTTTTTGCCTGCCTTTTAAATAAAGGCTTTGACTTAGTTTATCTAGTGTAGTAGTTCTCTAAGTGTGGTCTGGGGACTTGAGACACTTTCAAAGGTTCTGCAAGTTTTTCCCTTTACCACCTATTTATCTCGTGAGGCTGCATTTTCTTCAACAGAGTGACATAGTGCAACAGATTGAATGCAGAAGCAGATAAGAGAATCCAGCTCTTTTTATTAAGACAGATGCTAATGAGATTTGTTAAAATGTAAAACAGTGCCACTCCTCTCAAGTTTTTGTTTGGGAAAATGTAATTATTTTTCCGAAAATATATTAATACTTAATGGTTTTATTATATTAATGTATATTTTTAAAATTTCTTGGATGGGGTTTGTGGACTAAGGAGAAGATTTCATACTTAGAAGTTAATCAATCACGCACTTTTTGTTGTTGTTTTTTTGCCAAATTTAATATTTCTTCGGTATGACAACTTTCTGAATGCCTTTCGTTTGAGGGCTACTAACCAAAGCAAACATCATTAGTCTATGAAATAATTTGCTCCTAACTTGTAGGCTCTCCCCCTGTGTTTTCCTTATTTTGTAGGTAATTGTTACCGTTGGCAAGTTTGATATGCAAAACCTTGAGAGGGTTGAGAGGCTTTGAGAGGGGTCTGAGGGTTTTAGGTATGTTCTAAAGCCCTATCTCCTGCTTTGTTTACTCACTCATTCATTCCTCAGTTGGCTTTTCCTATTCAAGGTATAGATTATCTTTTTCTTCAACTCTACAGGATTGCGAACTGCTGAAGATCCCTTATAAACAAAATGCAACATAGAAATGGCTTTTTTTTAAGTTACATGGGAAAAATAAGTAACAGATCTTCTAACTTTATTGAATAGAAAAATGTAAATAGAAAATTGGCACTACTTTTTTGACACTACATTGTTAGTATTTGTGTTCATTTGAGAAGTTATAACACAAGAGATGTCTTTCTAATCATTTATTGTGGTATTTTAGAGATTATAAAGTATATGCACAGATATCATATTTCATCAAGACAAATACTTCTTTGAGATGGGTATATCATCATCATCCATTCTTTATAATTGAGGAAATTGAGTCTCAGAAAAAGTTGATTTCATTTATTGTAATACTTACTTGGTGCCAGATGTGATGCCTTCGTCTTCCCTCATTTTAATCTCAGCCTTTCTATTTTGGGATTACATATTCTCTTCTTGGGCTAGATAGATAGCACAAGACTAGCCTTATAGCCTGGCAGCACCAACCAGTGGTGGACACACCAGTTCCTAAAGCTTTTGACCTACTCTTTACCTCACTGCATTCTGGAAACTTCTAAGACTATGATAACTCAGCTGTGCATATGTTGGACGAGTTATTGAAGAGTTTGGAATTGAAAGCATTATTTTTGGAAATTGTTAATTTGGTAGTTCTGTATTGCATGGATGAAAACAGATACATCTGGATGCTCAGAGACTATGTTAAAAGTAAATCTTGCCCTAACCGATTTGGCTCTGTGAATAGAGTGTCGGCCTTTGGACTGAAGGGTCCCAGGTTTGATTCCTGTCAAGGGCATGTACCTCGGTTGCGGGCACATCTCCAGTAGGGGGTGTGCAGGAAGCAGCTGATGGGTGTTTGTCTCTCATCGATGTTCCTAACTCTCTATCCCTCTCCCTTCCTCTCTGTAAAACAAACAAACAAAAAATCAATAAAATATATTTAAAAAAAATAAAAACATATCCTTGGGTGAGGCTTTAAAAAAATCCCTTTATTGGCTTTCCATTGCTATTTGGATAAGGACAGAATTCTTTAATGTGATGTCCAAGGTATAGTTTTGTTTGACTCCTATCTTGAACCTCCTACTATATTTGCATATATGCCCTTGCTTTTCTTTTCTAATCACACTGGTGTCTTTGCAGTTTCTCATATTTGCTGTGCCATAGATCTTTTGTAGTGGGATAACTTCTGTGCTGTTTCCTGTCTGGAATGCTTTCTTCCCTTTCCTGTTTTCCTAGTTAACCTCAACTCATTCTTCAAAGAACAACTTAATCACTACTTTCTCAAGGAAGTCAGTTTTGATTATGTGAACTAGACCTACTATCCTTACTCTGTGAGTTTTTAAATTCCATGCCCATAGCCTTCATAGCGCAATTTACGTCTCTTTGTATGAGTGTGTGTCCCTGTCTCTACAGTGTAAGCTTCATGAGTGCAAGACCTGTTGCTTCTTTTTTTTAAAAAACATTTTAAAAAATATATTTTATTGATTTTTTACAGAGAGGAAGGGAGAGGGACAGAGTTAGAAACATTGATTAGCTGCCTCCTGCACACCCCCTACTGGGGATGTGCCCGCAACCAAAGTACATGCCCTTGACTGGAATCGACCCTGGGACCCTTCAGTCCGCAGGCCGATGCTCTATCCACTGAGCCAAACCAGTTAGGGCCCGTCTCTTCATTTTTGATCATCATTGTATTCCTCTCGCACACATAGTACATGTTTAATACATATACCTTTTAAATGAGTCATATTCTGACTCATTGGATCTCTGGTAATGAAAACTGATAAGTAGTACATCTTTAATTTATATATTTGTAAATTTTGTTTTTTTTTAAAATAAATCTTTATTGTTCAGATTATTACAGTTGTTCCTCTTCCCCCCCCATAACTCTCCTCCACTCAGTTCCCACCCCAACCTCTGCCCTTACCCCCCCACTGTCCTCATCCATAGGTATACGATTTTTGTCCAGTCTCTTCCCACCCGCCCCACACCCCTTTCTCCCCCAAGAATTGTCAGTCCACTCCCTTTCTATGCCCCTGATTCTATTATATTTATCAGTTTACTCTGATCATCAGATTTTTTATTCACTTGATTTTTAGATTCACTTGCTGATACATATGTATTTGTTGTTCATAATTTTTATCTTTACCTTTCCCTCTTGCTCTTCTTAAAGAATACCTTTCAGCATTTCATATAATACTGGTTTGGTGGTGAACTTTATTAGCTTTTTCTTATCAGTGAAGCTCTTTATCTGACTTTCAATTCTGAATGATAGCTTTGCTGGATAAAGTAATCTTGGTTGTAGGTTCTTGCTATTCATCACTTTGAATATTTCTTGTCACTCCCTTCTGGCCTGAAGTTTCTGTTGAGAAATCAGCTGACAGTCGTATGGGTACTCTCTTGTAGGTAACTGACTTTTTTTCTCTTGCTGCTTTTAAGGTTCTCTCTTTGTCTTTTGCCCTTGGCATTTTAATTATGATGTGTCTTGGTGTGGTCCTCTTTGGATTCCTTTTGTTTGGGGTTCTCTGTGCTTCCTGGACTTCACCAGGTAGGGGAAGTTTTCTGTCATTATTTCTTCAAATAGGTTTTCAATATCTTGCTCTCTCTCTTCTTCTGGCACCCCTATAATTCGAATGTTGGTTCGCTTGAAGTTGTCCCAGAGGCTCCTTATACTATCTTCATATTTTTGGGTTCTTTTTTCATTTTGCTTTTCCGGTTGGGTATTTTTTGCTTCTTCATATTTCAAATCTTTGACTTGATTCTTGAGATCCTCTTGTCTGCTGTTCGATCTCTGTATATTATTCTTTATTTCAGTCAGTGTATGCTTAATTTCTAGTTGGTCCTTTTTCATATCCTCGAGGGTTTCACTAAATTTATTGGCGGTTTCTAGAAAATTCTTGAAAAACCTTATAACCGTGGTTTTGAACTCTATATCCAGTAGTTTGCTTTCCTTTATTCGTCATTTGTGATCTGTTTCTTTGTCTCCGCATTTTGTCTGCTTCCCTGTGTTGATAGAGTGGCTTTGTATGCTCGGTGTCCTACAGGGCCCAGTGGCTCAGCCTCCCCAATTACCTGAGGTGGACACTTTTGGTGCACCCCTTTGTGGGCTTTGTGCACAGTCTTGTTGTAGTTAAGCTTTGATTGTTGTAGGTATCACTGGGAGGATTTGACCTCCAGGCCAGTTGGCTGTGAGAATCAGCTGTGTCTGCAGTGGGAGAACTTCTGTGCTGGAGACACCCTTATGGGGCAAGACTTGCTTCAGTGGGGCTTTGGTGCTCCCTGAGTCTGCCCCCTGAGTGTGTCCCTTATGGATCTGAAGAGTTGTAATCTGGACGGTCCCACTCTCACCACTGGGTACACGGGCTCTTGGATCTAAGGAGGTGCTAATCTAGCCTCTGCCTGAGGCTACCCAGCAGGAGCTACGGAGAGATCTGCATATCCCTCTCCCTTGTTTGGGGTTTGGAGGTGCCCAGATGAGCCCAGCTGTGAAGCAGTGCAAGCTGCTGTGGGGCCTTGGGCCTTCTTTTGGATGTTCTGGGTCTCTCTGACCCAGCTGCAGTTTATTAGGTAATTTTAGATCTCAAAGGGCCAGGCCTTTCATATTTAAAAGCCTCTGCTATCAGCTTGGGTCGGGCGGGGTCTCAGGGAATGAACAGGGCGGAGCAAACAGCTATGGCTGGTCCTCAGCCCTGTCCTAAGAGGCCCCCGGGTCTCAGTGTCCCGTCTCAGTGTCCTGCGGTTATTGCTGCAAGCACCTCTGAGAGAAAGCCGCCTTCGAGTTCCGACCGATGTCCGACAGTCCAGTTTCTCCCCAGAGACTCGCTGGGAACTGGAGTTCAGAGCAGTCGGGATCTTGAGACTCCCTCCCGATTGAAAAAGACTCTGGCGTCCCCTGTTGCCAGCCCTTTCCGAGCGCGCGCCTCTGTACCTCTGCACTTTACTTCCGCACCTCCTGAGTCTCACTGTGCTTTTCTCTTTCCTTCTAGTTGTAGAATTTCCACGCAGCCAGCCTTCCTGTGGTTCTGGATGATGTCTGTTTTGTCTTTCAGTTGTAGTTTTGAAGTGGTTGTTTTGAAATTGCAAGGCAGCAATTTCCGGTGTTTACCTATGCCGCCATCTTGGTTTCTCCTGTAAATTTTGTTTTTTGAGCAAATATAAAATTTTAGATTTTACCATTCTAGCTCATTGACATTTTTTGAAAGCCTTGTTTGTTATTTATCATACACTATACTATTTACTCATCTGTAAATTTAATGTGCACACAGTTTGGTCTTTGTCTAAATCATTGCTATGAATATTGCTCTTTGTTAAGGCATATAATGTATTGGAATGCCCTTTTTATCCCTAAACTATAATTCAAAGTGTATCTTCAATCACTTATCCATTGCATCACACACCAAAACTCTGATGATCAGGATTGGGAATAGGGCAGGGGAAGAAATAAGGATTTATACTTTTAAATGTTTATCGAGAGAATATAACCAAATTTAATACATATATATGTATGGGAACCCCACATACATGACAGAGTCAGAGACCCCACATGCAGGAGAGGTTGAAAATGCATAGAAAGGGGGATTGAAGTACCTAAGACTTCCTGAGTTAGAGATGAGGTAATAATGCATCTTGGGGGCTTCAACGGGTCGGGTCATTACACGATAATAAGAAGAAAAGACATTTAGTAAATGGAAGTTTGCCCTGCAAAAGAAGTTATCTCTGATAATCTCTTAATGGGCAAGGCCCTTAATTCAAGTTCTTCCAGGTCAGCGGTTCTCAACCTTCCTAATGCTGCAACCCTTTAATACAGTTCCTCATGTTGTGACCCCCAATTTCATTGTTACAAATTGAACATAATTAAAGCATAGTGATTAATCACAAAAACAATATGTAATTATATATTTGTTTTCTGATGGTCTTAGGCCCCCTGTGAAAGGGTTGTTCGACTCCCAAAGGGGTTGTGACCCACAGGTTGAGAACCGCTGTTCTAGGTAGTTAAAGGGAGGGGCATAAGTTTCTCTTGAGCCTGCAGCTAAATTGTCTTTAGCTCAGAACAATCTGCATATCACAGAGACTGATCTTGGGGTACCTCATTCTGAACCCCCACAGTTCTACCCTCTGAATCTTCCCTGAAAGTTTCACATTCCAGAAGTTGGGCTGATAAACTTCTGTCATTAAACCAGTCTCAGTCTTGAGAAAAGTTCAAACAGTTGTTTCTCATTTCAGGAGGCAGTGATGTCAGTGGGCAAGGATTCATACTTTTTACTGCATATACTTTTGTATGATTGAATCATTTTTAATGAACATTTTTACTGGAAAAAAAACCACTGAGAAAACATCTTTCTTGTAAGGATTAATGTGTATGTTTCTTCTATGTGGAACATATCCAAATTCCCCATCTAGATGGTGATTTTTTTTTTTTTAACCTTCTAAAATAGAGATTCTTAGCCTTTTTGGTTCATAGACCCTCATGAGACTATGATGCTCCCTGAAAATGTACAAGTATGCACAAAATTTATTTTGCACATTTCATATTTCTGTGGTTCCCTCAACACCTTGTCAAGAATCTTTGTTATAGCACTGAATAGTTTTATTATTACTCTGTCATGCTCTATTTTGTATGTATTTATCATAATCCTACTAGTTTCTTGCGGTAGGGACTTTTTTCACATTCTATGCAGCATTGAGAATTGTGCCTTATATTAGACAGAAAGTGATTGAGTGTGTTATTTTTAAAGCCTTAATTGTTTATATTTTTTTTATTGTTTTTAGAAAATCTGATTGAGCTCACCAATTTGGAGGATTGATTTGCCTTTAGTGGAAGAAAAAAAATCCTTTCCTTTATCCTTAGGTTAAGTGCCTAGGACCTGCAAATTAACAGAAGAAAAGGTATACAAATTTTATTTAATGTCAGTATTTTAATTTTTATGTTCATGGAGGTCTTCATAGAAAAAAAATGACACAAAGAAGTAAATGTAGACACTGAGGCTTATATGTACCATTTTAACGAAGGATGATAATTTTGTGGAGAAGTGTCAGGACAAAGGAAAAGGGGTTTGGTTTTGTAAGAAGTGGTAATTTAAAGGAAGGTAAACATTTAAGGGAAACTCATGGAAGATAAGAGCTTTTTAGTGAGATTTGTTTGTGTAGATCCATCTTGGTGCTGACTTTCTGTTTCCAGTGATAATGGCAGTTTTTCTTTCTGGTATGGGAGAGGGGAAGGGGAAAACCTTCACAACAGGAAAATTCTGTCCTTCTTTGATAGGGGAATGGCAGAGATCTCTGTGTTTTCTGTTTTTTTAATTGCCTTCAGATCAAAACAGTCTTTATGCCATAGTGACATATTTTGGGGTGGTCTATTCTGATTCCCTTCGGCTTTAAGGAATTCATCTGAATTTCTAATTTCAGAGAATTAAAGTGGTAATTTTTTGAGTACCTACCTTCAGAGAATGAAGTTTTTTCTCTAAGTCAGGGTGGCGGACAGGAGAATTGAACCTTTTTCTTGGAAATAGCCAGCCAGGGAAACTTCTTTTAGGACTTAGATTTTTTTTCTATCCTAGTTCTGATCATATTTGTAGGCTACTTTTTTCCAGACTGAGTCCCAACCCTTCTCCTTTTCTGTTTGCCTGTTAAGATTACTGAATGTATAATCTTTTTTAAAAATGACATTTGAATTTTTTGGTTTATTTAAAAAAAAACTTGATATATTATTCTCCCTTATTTAAAAAAGAAAACTGTGTATATCCATATTCTTTCTTAATTTAAAAAATAAAACAATGTATATCCATATTCTCCCTTTTTTAGGTCTCTGTCCTTTTCTTGGAGTGACTATTTTCAGAATGGAATATTTTTCTTAAGAAAAAATTAGGTTCTTTTAGAAATTGAATGAGCTTTGATGAGATACCATCTAAAGTTTCTATGCCCCTCAGTATTTTGTCTGTAGTATTTTAGCTGCTAGTGATCTGATGTTTCTAATTGTGCATTTTGTGTGGTTGGAATGTGCCCTTTTCAAGAATATGTCTGTGGTGGTTAACAACTGGACTTATTCTAAAAACATACTTAGTTTTCTAACATTAGAGCATTCTTTAAAATAACAGGCATAAAAGGAGATACTGATCTACTTAATGTTTGTAAAGAAAAATTTTAGTAAGTTTATTCATTTATAAAATTTCATATCCAAAGACCAGAACTTTATCAAATTTTAGTTGTGGGTCTCTCAACTATGTATGAGTTTAATGCTTGCAATTTAAGGTTTCTATTTGTGTGGTTTGTCTTATAATGCCAAAGTAGACATCAAAATTCTCTACTTTTCACATCTTGTTACCATTCCTTTCCATAATAAAATCAGTGATAAATATAAATAGCCAGCCTTAAAAACTTGATATAAAACAAGTTTTTCTGTAAAGTTATAGTTATTGTTGAAAGTATTACAGATGTCCCTCCACTCCCGCCCCCCTTGACTCCCTCCACCCCGCCCCAGCCCCAGGCCTTCCTCCCATACCATTGTCTGGGCATGGCTATGCAAATATGCATATAAATTCAATGATTAACTATCACCTCTCCTCCTTCCCTCTGAAATATGTCAGTCTGTTGCATCCTTCAATGTCTCTGGACCTATTTTGTTCAGTTTGTTTTGTTCATTAGATTCCACATATAAGTGAGATCATGTGATACTTGTCTCTCTGACTGGCTTATTTTACTTAGTGTAATACTCTCCAGGTCCCTCCATGCTGTCTCAAAGGGTAAGAGATCCTTCTTCTTCTTCTTTTTTTTTTTTTTTTTTATAGCTGCATAGTATTCTAGTGTGTAAATGTACCAGTTTTTTAATCCATTCATCTACTTGGGCTATTTCTCGATCTTAGCTATTGTAAATAACACTGCTATGAACGTAGAGGTGTATACATTCTTTCTGATTGGTGTTTCTGGCTTTATAGGATCTATTTCTAGAAGTGGGATCACTGGATCAAAAGGCAGTTCCATTTTTAATTTTTTGAAGAAACTCCATACTGTTTTCCATAGTGGTTTACCAGTCTGCATTCCCACCAGCAGTGTACTAGGGTTCTTTTTTCTCCACATCCTTGTCAGCATGTGTTTGTTGATTTATTGATGGTAGCCATTCTGGAAGATGTGAGGTGATACCTCATTGTCATTTTAATTTGTATCTTTCTGATAATTGGTGACGGTGAGCATTTTTTTCTTGTCTTTTGGCCATTTGTATGTCCTCTTTGAGGAAATCTGTTAGGTGCTCTGCCCATTTTTTTTATTGGGTTGTGTGTCTTCCTTTCATTGAGTTGTATGAGTACTTTATATATTTTGGAAATTAACCCCTTATCAGGCTTATCATTTGGCAAATATGTTCTCCCATACAGTGGGTTCCCTTCTTATTTTGGTGCTGGTTTCTTTTGTTGTGCAGTATTTTTAAGATAATGGATATTAAAATTAATTTTCTAGTATCTACTTGAAATAGTTGGAAATTCTTGAGATCACAAAACTAGAGTTGGAAATATTAGAATGTTACTTACAGTTAAGAGCCCACTTTGAATCCTTAAAGCTCTATTCATTTGGGATTAGAATTCTAAATTATAAACCTGCATAGATATGCCACTAGTGACAAAAATGAAAGAATTGTTTGTAAAATGAAACAATTTAAAGCTTTTATATTAGTGAAATGATATTAATGCCTGATTCCTTGGGAAATTTGAGAGCAAACAAGTAACAGATCACATTTTTCTGAACAATGTTTAAATTACTGTGTCATACAAATCATTCCATTAAAAAAAACTCTCCTAAGTATACAAGCAAAACTGTGAAAGGTTTAGTGTTTCTTACATCTAGCATGTTAATCTTAGACTAATTTGAGTTAGTTGAACTTTATTTTTATATGCTATTCTTATTTTGAATATAAAATTTTACTATTTGAGATTATTATATTAATTTCTTTTCTTATATTTTTCCTTTTATGTTTAGTTCATCATATCTGGTTTTGGTGTTGTCAGCTTCTTGGATAGGAGTGCAACCCCCAATTGAATCATATTAATCCTGAGAAAAAAACAAAGATTGACTTTATAATGTGGTTTCTTGGATTATTTCATTGAATAACTCTAATTTTTAGAGTTTGAGGAGATGGAGAACTTCCTCACATTAACTTTTGTATTCTTTATCACGTACTCATTTTTAAAAAGGATTTTTTAAGAAATTAAAATATAGGAGTGTATGTAGAATCAAAGTGGGTGTTTTCTAAAATGATAATGGTATAAACACTTTATCCAGATATTAATTTTTATGCATTTCCGTAAGTATTTTTGAATTAGATACTTGTTTTATTTTATGAGACTAGTAGTACATAGATAATTTAACCATGCTGATGAATTGTAGGTAAGTGTACTATTATGTTTGTTATGTGTGTTTTAACTAGTTAATAAATGCTTTTTTAAAAAGCTGAAAATATGGCAAGATAGAGTTGACAGCCACATTCCGAAAGGCATAAAAAGCTAAAATTTCAACATGAGAAATATGACTGTAATGAAGATCTTATATAAAAAAATGATTTGTAAATGCTCAGCTCATAAATTTCATTATAACAAAGTTGTGGTCTGTTCTTAAGAGTTCTTTAAAATGGGATTTAGCTCAGAGTTAAACATGGTTAAGATTTAATGAATGATTTTTGTGTGCCAGGCACTGAGCTTGTGCTTTATGTATATTACCTCATTTATTTTTCATTATGACTGTAATATAAAATATATGTAGTAAATAAAGCAAGGCACAGAGATGAACTAGCTTGCCCAGTGTCATATAGCTAATAAGTGATTGAGCCAGAACTTGAATCTGACATTCATTTTTCAGCAAGTTTTACTGTTTGTGGTTAATAAATGTTTAAAGAATACAGTTTATGGAACACAACTACACGCCACTATGTTCTGGAAATGTGGGAAATTGGTTGAAATCTTTTTTCTCTTGTGATTACTATTACTATGTTAAGCTGTTGACAGATCTGTTTGGTGTTTTAAAAAAAATTAATAGAGTTGTTTACTATATAGAAAAAATAAAGTAACAGTTTACAGTGAAGTCTAAAGTATAGAGCTGAATTGAACCCTAGAGATCATTCATTTGAACTAAGAGCTTAGACCCAGAATTGTAAGGTGACTTGACTAAAAGTTGTGGCAGTATTGGGGCTATGACTTGTTCTTCTGTCTACTAGCCTACTGCTCTTGTTTTATGCTCAGACTCTAGTTGTGGTTTGTGTAATTGCTTAATCTTTTATTAGAGAGTAAATAGGACTATATCTAGTACATGGTACACCTATGCTATAGTGTTTGCTATGTACTAAATCAAATGTATTATCTTTGTTATTTAACAAAGTGACATTGTATCAGGTGACATCTATCAATGTATAAAAGTAAATTTTTCAAGCAATTGAAATTTAGACCCTCATTTTTATTTTTTGTTTTGTTAATCCTCATCTGAGGATTCCATCCCCCTCCCCCATTGATTTTTAGAGAGAGTGGAAGGGAGGGGAAGAGACACAGAAAGAAACATCCATACTAGAGAGATACATTGATTGGTTGCTTCCCACATGCACCCCAACTGGGGCGGGGGATGGAACCTGCAGCCAAGATATGTGCCCTTTACCTAGGAATCAAACCTGCCACACTTTAGTCCATGGGCTGGCGCTCTAACCACTGAGCAACCGGCCAGGGCAATAGAACATTTATTTAAGATATAATTTATTAGGTTAGGTATGTAAAAGCTGAAACAAAAAAAACAATAAAGTAGGGATTATAATTATTTATATTAGCAGTCTCAAAGTGAATGAATTAAAAAGTCTTTGATAAATCAGCTATTTGGAATCCCCCCCCCCCCCCCATAGAAACAGATGTATTAAACATGGG